TCCCCCAGTGAGGGGCTGGGGTGTGGCTCAGTGGTAGAGCCCCTGCCTAGAATCCCCCAGTGAGGGGCTGGGGCCATGGCTTGGTGGTAGCCCTGTTCCATGGTTCCTGTTCCATTGCGGAAGCCCTGGGTTCAATCCTCTCTTTGGAAACTCAGTTTTGTGGCTTCGTAAATGCGTCATGGCTTTAGAAAAAGCAGCTAGATCATTTTAGCTTCCCAGTGAGTCATTGTGGGTTTTCACATGGGCTCTGCCACGTGCAGCGTGGGCAGGGCACCTGCCACCTTTGGCTTGGGTTCCGCATTCGTAAAATGGCCTGGTGACTTGGTGTCGCCTTCCAGGGTTGGGATGTGGAATAACATAAGGAGAACACTTAGCTCCACGTCACAGACATGAAGTACTCTGCCTCCTGCCAGCTGCTCGGCTCTGGGCGACTCCCTCCCACCCTCTGTGCCCAGCTTTCTGCACCCATAATATGAGGACAGCAAACGGCATCATGGCACGGCCGTGACGAGGCTGAGGCAGATCCACTCTTCGGGTGGACACGCGAGGCTCAGAGACAGATGCTCCTCGCCAGGGTGTGCGTGGAGGGGCCCTGCAACTTGCAGCCGCCTCCTTGCTTTTCCTCATGTGTGCCATTCCCCTCTTCCAGCCAGAAGCTGCAGGGTGAATATTTCCGGTACAAAGGAATTCCCTTCCCGGTTGGCATGTACTCGCCCGAGAGCCTCAGCCTGGCAGAGAACACTAACAACGTGCGGGATGAGGACATCTTCATTGTCACCTACCCCAAATCAGGTACATACGCGCCAGCTTGGACTCAGGGAGGAAGTGGAGAGGGAAGGGAACCTGGGAATGTGTCCTCGGCTGGAGGCACCTCCCTGGGCTCTGCCCACTAACTCCCTGCTCCAGGTCACCTCTGAAGGCCTGGCCAGCCCCTCTCCCCTCCCCACACTCCCCTCAGACCTCCCCTGTCCCCTCGGCCCCCACAGCACTGAGTGTCCCCAGACCTCCCCTATCCCCTCGGCTCTCCCTGTCCCCTTGGCCACTGTGTGGTCTGGTGAGTACTTTGTTTTTGTTGAGACAGGTTTTCATGCAGCCCAGGCTAGCCTTGAACTCCTGGCCCTCCTGCCGCAGTGTCTCAGGTTCTGGGAGGGCAGGTGTGTGCCACCAGGCACAGCCTCGCTGATGGAATCTCTGCTCTCTCACCGGAAGGCTAACTGAGTTCCCCTGAGAGCTTTGTCTGCATTGGACATTGCTACGCTCTCTGAGCCTAGAACCAGGCCTGCTGCCTAACATGTTTGTGGAGGACGTTCTTCCTCTCATTTCAGTCTGAATGCACGTACAAAATACTACTCCATCTTCACAGACAAGGAAAGCCAGTGTTCTGGTTTTCTTTTTGTGATAAAAAACACCCTGACAGTGCAGGTGGTGGTGGCGCACGCCTTTAATCCCAGCACTCGGGAGGCAGAGGCAAGTGGATCTCTGTGAGTTCAAGGCCAGCCTGGTCTACAGAGTGAGTTCCAGGACAGCTAGGGCTACACAGAGAAACCCTGTCTCAAAAAACTAGAAAAAAAAAAAAAAAAAGAAAAACAAAAAACAAAACCACCCTGACCAAAGGCAATACAGGAAGAAAGGGCTTGCATGGCTTACATGTCCAGGCCACAGTCCATCATGGAGGAAAGTCAGACCAGAAATTCAGTCAGGACTTGAAGCAGAAAGCAACCAGGACACTGCTTACTAGCTTGCTCCCTGTGCTCTGCTAACTCTCTATACAACCCGGAACCAGTTTGAGGCCAGCCTGGTCTATAGAGTGAGATCCAGGACAGGCTCCAAAACTACACAGAGAAACCCTTTCTCGAAGAAAAAAACAAAACAAAACAAAAACAGGGCTGGAGAGATGGCTCAGAGGTGAAGAGCACTGGCTCCTCTTCCAGAGGTCATGAGTTCAATTCCCAGCAACCACATGGTGGCTCACAACCATCTGTAATGAGATCTGGCGCCCTCTTCTGGCCTGCAGGGACACATGTAGGGAGAACACTGCATACATAATAAACAAATAAATCTTTTTTAAAAAATGATTTATTTATTTGCATTGGTACATCTTTGTGAGGGTGTTGGATCCCCTGGAACTGTAATTATAGACAGTTGTGAGCTGCCATGTGGGTGCTGGGAATTGAACCCGGGTCCTGTGGAAAAGCAGCCAGTGTTCTCAACCACTGAGCCATCTCTCCAGCCCCAATATATATATATATTTTTTTAAAGAAAAAAAAACAAAAAAAAAAAAAACGGGACCCAACCGGGCGGTGGTGGTGCACGCCTTTAATCCCAGCACTTGGGAGGCAGAGGCAGGCGGATCTTTCTGAGTTGGAGGCCAGCCTGGTCTACAGAGCGAGATCCAGGACAGGGTCCAAAGCTACACAGAGAAGCCCTGTCTCAAAAAAAACAGAGAGAGAGAGAGAGAGAGAGAGAGAGAGAGAGAGAGAGAGAGAGAGAGAGAAGGAGAGGGAGAGGAGAGAGGGAGAAGAGAGAGAAGGAGGTGAGGAAGAGGGGAGAGGGAGAGGAGAGGGAGAGGAGAGAGAGGCAGTACCCCAGCTGAGACTCTCGGGTACCCTGGACAGTGTTGACAGCTAACTAGGAGAGCTCGATACAGCGGTGCACATCTGTAATCCCAGCATGTTGGAGGAAGGGATCAGGAGATAAAGCTCATCCTCAGGTACAGATTGGATTTGAAGCCAGCCTGGGGCAATAAGACCCTGTCTTTAAATAAAAAAAAAAAAAAATCTGACTCCTGCCACTGCAAGAGTGAGCCTTACAGACACCGTGTTAAGAGAAATAAACTGGACACAAAGGAATTACACGAGGCCCTTAAAGTAGCCATGCTTGGAGGCGGGAACTGTGAGGCAGAACCCAGGAAGCAGGGACTGCAGGAGAGAAGAAAGGAGAGCATTGACCTAATGATTACAGTTTCTGTTTGGAGAGAGGACAAGCCTTGGGGGCCAGTGGGGATAACTGCTGCAAAACTGCGTGGTTGTATGTGTGTTGCCTAACGGAAATGGTGAGGATGATGAGGGCTGCGTTGTGTGTTTTCTAACACAAAGGGAAGGAAACTCGCCAGCCAAGGACTTCGACTGTGAACTGCTCCCGCAGAGCATAGAGAGGCCGCAGACTCAGGAGTAACCCCACCCTCTGCAGGGAAAAGGAACCCCCGGCAGCAGTGAATCGGGGAGCGGGCTTCCCTGCTCTTGTCGCCAGGTTCAGCCTCACTGGAGAGGTGCTGAGATATCCTGGTGGAGGATTCTCGTCATTCTAGACCCCGCGCTAGAGAGGACTCGCCAAGGAGAGCCGCCAGAGAACAGTGTCGGAATTCGTGTTCCTCTGGCGCCCTCTGCTGGTGGTTGGGAGCTGAGCCCGCTAGCTAGGGAGAGCCTTCTGCCCCGACCCCGGGGCCAAGGCTGATGATGGAAGGGAATACTGAGCCTTGGGCTCTTGCGCAGGGACAGGGCTCCTTGCTGAAACATGCCATTCAGATACCAAGAGATAAGCTGGGCGGGCATGGTGGCATAGGCCTGCTGTCTTTGCTAGGCCAGGGTCCGAGGAGGGAGGACGCCCAAGGCTGGCCTGGACAGTTTAATGTGATTTGTTGTTGTTTTATGGTTTTGTTTTTCCGAGACAAGGTTTCTCTGTGTAGCCTACCCTTCCTGAAACTCATTCTGTAGACCAGGCTGGTCTCAAACTCAAAGATCTGCCTGCCTCTGCCTCCTGAGTGCTGGGATTAAAGCTGTGGGCCACCACTGCTTAATGGGATCTTAATGTGTCTCGTGACAAAAAGTAAAAAGAAATGAAGACGTGGCTCAGCAGTAGGGCCTGTAATTCCCCAGTGAGGGGCGGGGGTGTGGCCCAGTGGTCCAGACTTGCTCAGCATTTCTGAAACTCCCGACTCAATCCCTCTTACTACAAACAAACAAAAGAAAAAAAAAAATTCCCTCAAAAATAATTGGCCAGGTGCAGTGGCTTTAATCCCAGTACCCAGAAGGCAGAGGCAGGAAGAGCTCTATGAATTTGAGGCCAGCCTGGTTTGCATAGTGAGTTCCAGGACAGCCAGAGCCACACAGTGAGATCTTGTCTTGAAAACAACTATAACAAAAATGCAATAAAGAAGGGTGGTGAAATGCACCAGGTAAATGCACTTGTCACCAGTGACAACCCGAACGTGAGTCCCAGGAGCCACAGAAAAGCCAAGCACGGTAGGTAGCTGGCGCCTCTAACGTCAGTGCTGAGGGTAGAGACAAACAGATTCTGGGGCTTCATGGCCAGCCAGTTTAGGGGAGATGGGAAGGATCATGTTCAGTAGGGGACCCTTTCTTAAACAATGAAGTGGAGAGTTATAGAAGAAGATACAATGTTTCCCTCCGAGCTCCACACAGTCAGAAGTGGGCAAGTCTTCCCAGAGCATGCAGGCACCACACACACACACACACACACACACACACACACACACGCACACGCACACGCACACGTGCACACGCACGCGCACGCACGCGCACGCGCACACACACACAGAGGAAAGCAGTCAGCGTTGACATGCCGTATGCGGCTCAGTGGCTGAATGAGGGGTTCCTACCTGCTCGCTGGGCTGCAGCCTGTCACGCAGAGAAGCAGAGGTAGGGGAATGCATGCTGACACAGCAGTGTCCACTCAAGATGCCCAGGGTCTCCACCAGCAGCCAGCGCAGAACTGGAGTTACAGGGCTAAGTTTATTTTTATTTTGTGCATATGGGTGTTTTACTCACATGTATGTACACCATGTGTGCACATTGCCCACAGAGGCCAGAAAAGGGCCAGAACATAACCCCCTGTTGGTGTGTGTGTGTGTGTGTGTGTGTACCACAGAGTGAGTGCAGGTCAGAGGACAACTTGTGGGAGTTGGTTCTCTGCTCCCACCACGTAAATCCTAGGGATCAAACCCAGATCATCAGACTTGGCAGCAGGTATCTTTATTCTCTGTGTCTTCTTGCTGACTGAAGCTTTTCTTTCATTAAAAAAAGTTACTTTTATTTTATGCAGATGGGTGTGTGCACCATGTGTGTGCAGTGCCCACAGAGGCCAGAAGAGGGAGTCAGATCCTCTGGAACTGGAGTTACAGGTGGTTGTGAGCTGCCCTGTGGGTGCAGGGAATTGAACTCAGGACCTCTGCAAGAGCAGTTAGTGCTCTTAACCTCTGAGCCCCCCCCCCCAGAAGCCATTCTTTTTTTTTTTTTCCGAGACAGGGTTTCTCTGTGTAACTTTGTGCCTTTCTTGGAACTCGCTTTGTAGACCAGGCTGGCCTTGAACTCACAGAGATCTGCCTGCCTCCCGAGTACTGGGATTAAAGGTGTGCACTACCACCGCTAGCTCAGAAGCCATTCTTAATCAACCACCACGCCCCTGGTTCTTTTCTGAGACAGGGTTTCACTCTGTAGTCCAGCCTTAGCCTCCAGAGTGCCGGAATGACCAGTGTCCACACCTGGCTAGGCTGTCCGCTGCCTTGCCTTCTGCTCCCAGCCGGCTTCAAACACAGTGCTACGGTTGGGATATGGTTCTATTCCCACCCCTTGCCTTCTGCTCCCAGCTAACCTTTCTGTTCTCCTGGTAGGTACCAACTGGATGATTGAGATCCTCTGCTTAATCCTGAAAGATGGGGACCCCTCATGGATCCGTTCTGAGCCCATTTGGCAACGTGCACCCTGGTGTGAGACCGTCATAAGCGCCTTCAGCCTCCCAGACCGGCCCGGCCCCCGCCTCATGAGCTCCCACCTCCCCATTCAACTGTTCACCAAGGCCGCCTTCAGCTCCAAGGCCAAGGTGAGGTGGGTGGGCTCTGGGTGAGGGTGTGAGACTGATCAACTGAGTAGCTGTATGGTGAAAACAAGCCTGAACACGGGGCCCTTGGGAGTCCACCTTTTAAAGGGGAGCAGACTCTAGGCTAGACGTGGTCATGTGTGTCTGTCATCCCAGCACTTGGGGTGCTGAAGCAGAAGAGTGGTCATGATTTCCAGGTCATCGGGGCTACAGAATGCTACCCTGTCCCAAACAAAAAGCCTGGCATTGGTGGCACACGCCTTTAATCCCAGCACTGAGTTTGAGGCCAGCCTGGTCTACAGAGCAAGTTCCAGGAAAGCCAGGGCTACACAGAGAAACCCTGTCTCAAAAAACCAAACAAACACACAGAGCAAAACCATGAAAGCGAAGTCGGCAGAGCTGTATCGAGCATGCAGAGCCCTGGGCTGCCTCCCCAGGATCCAACGAAGTAGGCATGCTGATGCTCACTTGGTTTTTTTGTTGCTGTTGTTTTTTCCAAGACAGGGTTTCCCTGTGTAGCTCAGGCTGTTCTAGAACTCGCTCTGTAGACCAGGCTGGCCTCGAACTTGGAGATCTGCCTGCCTCTGCCTCCTGAGTGCTGGAGTTAAAGGCAAATGCACCAGGGCCCGGCTAATGCACACTTGTATTCTGAGTACTCAGGAGGGAAGCAGGAAGATCATCCTCGGCTAAGTATCGAGTTCAAGGTCAGCCTGGGATGTATAGGAAAGTTTAAAAAACAGCAGCAGCAACAAAACCAAACAAACACACAAAAAAAAAGCAAGGTGGTCCAGAGGGAGGAGCTACAGGGACTGGGTAGAGGGAGAGAGACACAAATGTCCTCGGGTGAGTGAGGTGATCTGTCTGTGGCACAAGGAGGTCCTTGTGGCTGAAGCCCTGTGAGCCAGGGGAAGAGGGGTTGGCCAAGGTCGGAGAGGGTAACAAGTATAGAGCTGTGTGGCCTCCCAGTGGCAGAGCTGGGGCCACGGGCGGGGCCAGTGCTGGCCCAGGCATGGGCACAGTCCTTTGGCTGCCACACAGGGATTCCCTGGCAGGAACCGGAAAGACAGAGATGCCACTGCCCAGGCACAGGGAAGAGGTTGTGACTGGACCAGGCACAGGCCCGGGGGAGGATGGAGCTGGGCCTGCATTTGACTTTTGTCTCGTTTTCCTTCCATTGTTTATTTTTCTCTTTTTAAGAGCAGGCCTCACTGTGTAGCCCAGGCTGGCCTTGAACTCACAAAGATCCCTGCTGTACCTGACACCTCCTACCTCCCCGCTGTCTACACAGGTGATTTACTTGGGCCGGAATCCCCGGGACGTCGTGGTCTCTCTCTATTATTACTCTAAGATTGCTGGGCAATTGAAGGACCCTGGTACACCTGACCAGTTCCTTCAGGATTTCCTCAAAGGAGAAGGTGAGAAGCAGGGAAGGAATAGGCAGGAGAGAGACAGGGAGAGACAGAGGTGGGGAGAGACAGAGATGGGAGAGATCAAGGTGGGGAGACAGAGATGAGGAGAGACAGAGATGGGGAGAGACAGAGGTGGGGAGACAGAGCTGGAAGAGACAGAGATGGGAGACAGAAGTGAGGGAGACAGAGATGGGGAGAGACAGAGATGGGAGAGACAGAAGAGATGGGGAGAGATCGAGGCTAGCAGAGATAGAGACCAGGTAGACAGACAGACAGACAAAGAGGCAGAAGAGCAGAGATATGGTCCCTTCTCTGCTTGTCAGAGGTACGGACGGTGGCCTGAGGGTGGCGCGCACAGGAGCTGGTTGGGGCCGGGAGGTTCTCGACGCTGGCTGAGAGGCAGCAGGCAGCAGGCAGGGTGGCCTGTGCGGCTGGTCCCGAGAGACAGGGGGCCCTCACACCCTCCACTGCCTGCAGTGCAGTTTGGCTCCTGGTTTGACCACATCAAGGGCTGGATCCGGATGCAGAGTCAAGAGAACTTCCTGTTTATCACCTACGAGGAGCTGCAGCAGGTTCGTCCGGCCGGCGTATGCCAGTGGCCCCCCTCCCTCACCACATGCTCCTGGAGGCCTGCCAACCTCCTACCAGTCCTTGTCCCGGGCATGGGAAGGGGGTGACTGTAGGCAGATAGGGCAAACCAACTCACCATCAGGTGGGGTGCACACTTAGGAGAGTCTGCAGCCAGAGCAGCAGTACCAAGGCCCGGGGACCCCCCAACTCTCTCTCTCCTCTGTCACTCTTTCTCATGTAGCCCAAGTATTTGAGGATGACCCTGAACTTCTGATTCTCCTGTTTCCAACTCCTGAGATTACAGGGGTCCATGCATGTGCCGGGGACAAACCCAGCACCTCCTGCACGCTAAGGAAGTGCTCTCTTTTATTATTTATTTATTTATCTATCTATGATCTATTTATTTTCGGGTTTCTCTGTGTAGCCCTGGATGTCCTGGAACCTGTAGACCAGGCTGGCCTCCTTCTCAAGATCTTCCTGACTCAGCCTTCCCCAGGGGCTGGTATTGCAGGCATATTCTGTGGCTGTCAACTTTTTCAGTTTCGGGGATTGAACCCAGGGCCTTGTGTACATTCGGCAAGCGCTCTACAAATGAGCCATAACTCCAGGTCCTCACTGGGAGATTCTAGGCAGGAAGTCGACATCCTTAGCCTTTGCTTTGTTTTTCATTTTAAGTTAGAGTCTCACTAAGTTTCCCAGGCTGGCCTTGAACTTTCAATCCTCCGCAGTCTCCAGAGTGACTAACAGGCTGTGTCACCAGATCTGGCTTCTGGAGACACTTTTTGTAAATCCTCAGCGCACAGGGCATCTCCTCAGAAGCAGGGGAGAGGGCAGCTCAGAGCGCCACTGTGAGGAGTGTGCCTGGCCCTGGTGTGCTGGGCCCAAGCCCACCTCAGCCCTGTCTCAGTGTAGAGTGGGAATGGCTAGCTAGGGTCTGAGTAAGGGCGGATGGGACTAGTCACATTGGGAGAGCCAATGCTGGCCGCCTGCTGCTAAGCACCACTGAGGGCCTGCATGCAGCTGCTCCCAGAGGACGGGCCAGGAGGCCCAGCAGAGATTCATGCACAGGAGCCTGCCACCCAGCGCTCAGGAGGCAGAGGCAGCAGATCTCTGCGAGTTCACAGCCAGCCTGGTCTGCAGAGCACCATCCAGGGCAGCCAGAGGTCCATGGTGAAACCTTCCTCAAAAACAAAGCAAACAATAAAATAAATAAGAAGGCTAGCAAGGTGGCTCAGCAGTTAAGAACACCGGCTGTTGTTGCGGAGGACTGGATTTGGTTCCCAGCACCCACATGTGGCTCACAGTTGGCTGTAACTCCCAGTTCCAGGGGATTTGATGTCCTCTTCTGGCCTCTGTGGGGACCAGAAGTACATATACCTGCAGGTAAAACACTCAGACACATAAAATGATAATTTTTTTTAAAAAGTAGAGTTGAGCCAGGCAGTGGTGGCGCACGCCTTTAATCCTAGCACTCAGGAGAAGCAGAAGCAGATGGATCTCTGTGAGTTTGAGGCCAGCCTGGTCTACAAAGCTAGTTCCAGGACAGCCAGGGCTATGCAGATCAACCCTGTCTTGAAAAACAAACAAAAACCAAACAACAAAGAGTTGGTGAGTGGACTCAAAGGGTGAAGTCACTTGCTGCCAAGCCTGACGACCTGAGTTCAATCCCCAGATGTGGAAGGAGAGAACAGACTCCTGACATTTCTCCTCTGATTTCCACATGTGCACATAAACACACACACACACACACACACACACACACACACACACACACACACACACAAAATGTAATAAAAAATTAAGTATATATTCACTTAAAATAGCAATAGTCCACCCATTTTGGGCTGTGAAAATTGTAATTTTGTAGGTCTGCCCTGGTAAGTCCCCACTGCTGTTCAGAGGAGGAAGCAAGCTTAGCGCTCTGGAGAGAGTCAGGTGTTTGCCCAAGACACACAGTAATTCCCTGCAGCCCCCATATTTTTTCCATTCTGATAACTTCTGATGGAAAGTTCTCGAAGACACTTCAGCACCATGTCTCCCTCCCTCCCTCCAATCAGGTTTTATTCTCCAAACCAAAAACTGGGCCACGGAGCCAAGCACTAGCTCTGAGCCACTCCTGGGGTGCATGGCACCGCCCACATGTGTGTTTCTGGGACAGGCCTGTGGCTCAGAGAATAAAGGGTTATGAAACAGGAATGACCTGGAAAAGCAGACGGTGCACTGACCAGCTACACAGAGCGCTCCACACCACAGATGGCTGGGAGCTGGAGGGGACCGAGCGGCTTGGGGGGACCGTGGGGCGTGGGGGGACCGTGGGGCGTGGGGGCCTGAGTCTCAGCTTCAGGGCTATGTGACTTTGGACAAGTGTCTTATCTCTGGACCTCGGTTTGCCAGCTAGGGTGTGGCCTTTCTTGCAAACTGATGGCAGGATCAGCACAAATGTGGAGGAGGACTTGGGTCACAGTTTGGTACTCCGGGGACTTGAGCCAAGTGTCATGAGTAAGACAGCAATTGAGTCTATCAGTGGCAGAGAGCAGATCGAGAACTCGTGTGCTAAGCTGGGGAGGGAGGAAAGTACAGCGTGGGAAGGAGGCGTTCACAGCAAACAACCAGGCCTGGGGGGGGACTCTGTCCCGTGTTCTGGGGAGCCACGGAATCAAGGGCGCCAGGCAGGCTGGGAAAGGGGCTGCAGAGGAGAGGGCTTGCGAGGGAGAGGATGGGTGTGGGCCAGGATGGGGACGCTGGGGACACAAAGACATGGCAAAAGAAGGCAGGCAGGACAAGGATGTGGGCTGAGGCAGACAGGGAAGGGTAGGCCCTGGAGACCAGTGCTGGGGGCGGGGCGGGGCAGAGCAGCCCCGCCCACAGCTGTCTGTTTCTGCCGTACAGCAGGGTTCTTTTTTTTTTTTTTTGGTTTTTTGAGACAGGGTTTCTCTATGCAACAGCCCTAGATGTCCTGGATCTCACTCTGTAGCCCAGACTGGCCTTGAACTCACAGAGATCCACCTGCCTCTGCCTCCCGAGTGCTGGGATTAAAGGCATGCGCCACTGCCGCCACCCAGCAAGCAGGGTTCTTGTAAACTGCTGGGCTGACTTTTGCAAACCTACACTTCCCCAACCCTCTAGAATCCTGGAGGACCGGGAGGCCCAACATTTTGGCTTGGAGGGGAAACCGAGGCAAAGAGCCAGGAACCAACCCCTCCAGGCCACCCAAAGTGGTCCCCACTCCACTGACTCTTCCTCTTCCCACTCCAGGACCTGCGAGGCTCCGTGCAACGCCTCTGTGAGTTCCTGGGCCGGCCACTGGGTGAAGAGGCCCTGAGCTCTGTGGTGGCCCACTCGGCGTTCGGTGCGATGAAGGCCAATACCATGTCCAACTACACACTGCTGCCGGCCAGCCTGCTGGACCACCGCCAGGGGGCGTTCCTGCGCAAAGGTACCACTGTGTGCTTCTGGGAGGTTCACAGCTTCGGGACGCCACATGGGGTGTACAGGCCCCCGACTGGTCTCCACTCTCAGCAGGAGGTCTGGCATTACAGCCTGCCTGCTGACCTGCCTCCATCCGGGCATCCGCCTGAAACAGCATTCTGAGTGCATCCAAAGCAAGGCTCCCACCGCATCCTGCAGCCAAAGGCCTCAGGAACCTTTGTATTAGTGCAGAATAATCCAACGTTCAGTCGGGTGTGGTGGGGCTTGCCTGTCAAACCAGCCACACAGAGTTGAGGCCAGCCTGGGCTACTTTAGACTCTGTCTCCAAACAAAGCAGGACACTGGGACAACACAGGAGTCCCAGGTGGTAGGTTAGCCCCTCATCTCCAGATCCTCCAGATGTGATTTCATGTTCTAAATTCCAAGAATTGGCAATGAGGATATCTGAGGTATATCAGCCTCCTTCGGGGAGCCTCCTGATGTCACCAGAGGTGACATGACATGTAACTAAAATTCAACAGGCTCTTTGAAAGGGCTCTTTCCACACGGACAAGAGGTGGGCCCCGGTGGTCACTGTGATGAGGGACCAGCACTCAGGATTGCATTCCTGTTGGGGGTACCTTGCCGAGACAGCTCACTGGCTGTGGGGACCTCAAGACAGTCCATTCATGTGCAACCTCCAGGGAGCCTGACTGGGGTGCTCCGGCCATCAAGTCACAGCAAGAGTGCTGGAGGCCATGTTGGGAATCTGAGGGGTACCAGAGTGAGAGCCCAATGCTGGCAGAGGCAGCTCCCAGCGGAGGTGACCCAGGTTGTAAAGCAGGTGTTGGGGTGCTTAGAGGGAAGTGAGTTCCAGGAAGAGATCTAGGAGGTCAGAGGTCAAAGGACAGGGCAGACAAGAGTCACCTAGGTGTAAGGAAAGAGGCAGTAAGCATGGGGGATCTGGCCAGGTGACACCGATGATGTAGTTGGCCATGGTGCGGAAGGCAGAGGGGACACCCCAGCAGCTCCTCAGTGCTCCCTCCTCTGTCCCCTCCAGACACCCCAGCAGCTCCTCAGTGCCCCTTCCTCTGTCCCCTCCAGGCATCAGTGGCGACTGGAAGAACCACTTCACTGTGGCCCAGAGCGAGGCCTTTGACCGTGTCTACCGCGAGCAGATGAGGGGACAGCCGAGCTTCCCCTGGGACATGACCCCAGAGGACACCAGCCCTGATGGCGAACCTGACCCTGAGCCCAGCCCCAGCCCTGGCCCCAAATCAGGATCCTCTGATGACCCCAACCCAGCATCCTCACAATAAACTTGTCACTCCAGTTACCCCTTCCTCCATGCTGGGCTTTCAGGGGCAAGTCGGGGGTGCAGGTCGGCCTGGTACCCAGTCACGCACCACAGAGAGAGTGCAGAGGTGCTGCAGGGGGCCGGTGGGACTCAGGTGTGACTCACTTCTGTCCAGTGCTTAGGAGGGGGAGGCAGTAGGGCTGCAGATTCACACCCAGCCTGGGTTACTCGGTGACCACATCAAAGCAGTGTAAAGGGGGTGGGAGCCTGCCCCCTAGAGCTGAGGGAGGGGAGCTGGGGGGAAACCCTGGGTCTGAAGGAGGACTCTGGAACTGGGAGGCTGAGGGAGGGGACGGCTGGGTTTGGGAAAGCCACGGAGATACAGGTCTGTGTTGTCAGAGTTTAATCTGAGCAGAAATAGAGGGGAGCACTCTGGTGCTCTCCTTTAGTCCCCACAAAAAGTTCCAGACATATTCCAATGTCTCAGTGTCCCCAGCACTTCCCAGGCCCTTGTCTTTCAGCCTTGCCCCTCCCCTTTAAACCCCATCACTGTTAACACCCCTTTCCAGGACTCACGTTACCCACTGCCCCATACATGGGTATGGGTGCTTTTCCTCTAGGGTCGCCCCACAATACATGGTGGGGCAGCTAGGCCTGTCTCTGAAGCAGTCCTGTCTGCTGCTCTGGAACATTCTGCCCATTTCCAGATGATGACGCTGAGCCCTGAGCTCTGCTGAGCTCACCCAATTCTAGAGCAATTAAGACCAATCCCTTCCACTGCCCAGATCCCAGGCCAGAGGCCTCAGACTCAGCCAGTGTCTGGTAGGGGCTCTGAGCTGACCGTGGCTGGCCAGCCATATCTGGCCAGGGCTCCCATCAGCGTCGCCTTCCAGGGCCTGAGCCAGAGGCCCAGTCTGATGTGGCATTGTCTCCCAACCTCCTTTGGGCTGGAGATGGGTAATGCAGGCGGCGGGCTGGAATCATGGGGAGGGGGCCACCCCAGGGCTGTGACCGGGCTAGCGGGTGGGAATCCATCTCACCCCTGGGCCCCCCTCCAGTGCCCCGCTGCCTCATCAGGGCCCTGGCTGGAGTGTCCTTGGAGACCCAGGACTTCTTGATCTGTGAAGGGGGAAAGAAAAAATGAGGTGAGCAGTTGCTGGGGCTCAGTTGGTGGTGTGCCAGCCTGGCACTCACAAGGCCTGGGTTTGGGCCTCAGCATCATATAAACCAGGCATGACAGACACACCTATAATTTCAGAGCTCAGGAGGTGGAGGCAGGAGGATCAGAAGCTCAAGGGCAGCCTGCTGAAACCCTGTTAAAATGAGGAGGCAAGGGGCTGAGAGATGGCGGGGCAGGGAAAATGCTTGCCATGGAGCCGCGAGGCCTGGGTTTGGTTCCCTTGCACTCGTCTAAGAGCTGGGACTGCCAGGTAAGCGCTGGAAGGCAGAGACCAGTGACCCCAAGGCTCCCTGGCCGGGCAGTCCATCTGTGCAGTGAGACACTGTCCTAACACTAAAGTGAGAGTGCAGACGAGGACCTCCAGCATGGACATCTGGCTCAACAGGCACACACAGGGGCACGCCTGTACACACACACACACACACACACACACACACATCACACACACACCACACACACACATCACACACACACCACACACACACACATACACACAGGCACACACAGGGCACGCCTGCACACACACACACACACACACACATACACACACACACACACACA